TTGGGGAAATTGGAGGAGACATTTTCTTCTACATCCGTCCTGGGTTTTTTTTTGGGGGGGGCGGGGGTCACTGATCCGATTTGGTTTGAACTTGACCTCCTTTAGTTGACTTGCTTCAACATACCAAATTTGGTCCAGCTGTGTTTAGTTGTTGGGAGAATTATCCTGTTGGTAGGCAGATAGTCAAACATCTGATCCTATTTCTGTACCTTCTTTCTAGTGTCCAACTAAATTGCAAAGAATAAATGGGCTTGGTTACAATTTCATATTTGGTATTTATATAGTTACTAGAGAAGAGCCTAATGCTGGGAAAGATTGAGGGCAAAAGAAGAAGGAGGCAACAGAGAATGAGGTGGATGGATGGAGTCACTGAAGCAGTAGGCGTGAGCTTAAATGGACTCCATGGTAGAGGACAGAAAGACCTGGAGGAACATTGTAAATGGGGTCATGATGGGTCGAATATGACTTCACAACTAACAACAACATTTATATACTGCATTGTCTATTGTGGGTAGTTCTTTGATGGATTGTTTTTATGCAGTCACACTTCTTGGGTTGGATGGCCTTAAATATATAATCAATCAATCAATCAATCAATCAGTGTTAAGGTGTGGACATTGTGTGGCCTAATTAAGAAATTATTTCACTTTCAATCCTCTGAATTAATAGGACAATCGTAAGGGATCATTCCTTTTTTGTGGTTTTTTTAGAATTCAATATCAAAGCTTGCTCCAATATTTCCCAATCTGATTGAAATGTAGCACTAGCAATAGTAATTAGCCTTATATACTGCTTTACAATGCTTTTCAGCCCTCTCTAAGCGGTTTACAGAGTCAGCATATTGCCCCTAACAATCTGAATCATTTTACCGACCTCAGAAAGATGCAAGACTGAGTCAACCTTGAGGCTGGTGAGATTCGATCTGCCAAATTAGAGTCAGCAGTCAGTGAGCAAAAGTAGCCTGCAGTACTGCATTCTAACCACTCTGCCACTGCAGCTGTGTAATGTAACCAATTAATGCACTCCTGGATTTGTTGCTTGTACCATGAATGAAAGATATGCTTATATCTTAGTTGATGAAACTGTACTATAGAAACAGTTTATGTTCTCCAGTGATGCTTTCAACATATTGCATGATGGAAAGGAGGATAATATTTTTGCATTTCCAAAAAAGAAACCTACAAATGCATTTGAAACATACTCTTTTACAAATTTCACAGTGTACTTTTAAGTTTTAAACATGTACTGTAGTTGAAATGTAAAGTGTTCCTGTTACAGAGGTGGGTTGCTCCTGGTTCGGCTGAACCGGTAGTGGAATTCAGGCCTGGGTCACAGAACCGGCAGCGATCCAGGCCTGCCATGCGCCTGAACTGGTTCCCCCACCGCCTCTGGGCTGCCGCCATTTTGGTTTTTACTGACTGTTTACAAAGAACAATTTACATTTAGCAGTACATGCACAGTCACTAAAAACCGAAATGGTGGCTGCCCAGTGGTGGCGAGGGAACCAGTTCGGGGTCGTGGCAGGCCTGGGTCACTGCTGGTTCTGCAAACTGTAGTAAAACTGGTAGCAACTTACCACTGTCCTGTTATTATTGGTGGGTTTAACCAGTAATACTTTACTGCATTACCATAGGCTATATGTGTTATAATTCTTACAGACTTACTTGAATTAGTTCTTTTCTAGAAGTTTCAGTATAGCAAGCAGCTGACAAACTTACTCTTGAGCCTGAAATCATCAATAGAAAAGTCATGACAGTGGTGAATGGGATAGAATTGTTTAAAAAGGCTCTTGAACCTCATTTTATCTCTAGACAGGGTGGTAAAGGATGGTACAACAAACAAACTAAGAAAAGAATAACATTAAATTGATTAGTAAAGAGTAAACAGCACAGTAGGGTAGATAATTATATTGGGAAGATTAGCCTGCTTGATAGTGTCACAGTAGATTGGACATTATATATTGAAGAACTTGCAGAAGATGTGAGTTTTACTGAATGCTATGGGAGGCATGGTGCTCAGATTTATCAATAAGTTTAGCCTCACAATTTATATTTATTAGGGTTTTTTTAAAAAATTAAATGCTCTTTGACACCTAGTCATTCTCTTGTGAGACAGAGGGCCATACAAACATGATAAATAAATTGAAAATTAATGCTGGAATGTTTGGGATTAAAACCATTATTATTTGGTTTCATAAAGCAAACAGAAAAAGGAAGACGATATTGTAGCATATGCAGCTAAACTCAAAAAGCACCTGAATGTTGCAATTTTACTGAAGGGCTAAAGCTAAATGGTGCATTGAGGGATCTGACTAGACTGTCAAATTCTGAACGCAAGAGATTCATAACAGATAGGTTTAACATTTAAGAATGCATTTGAAATTGCTCTTCCCATGAAAACTACTGCAAAATATGTAATAAAGCTCCAATCAGGAATAAAAAACAAATGAAAACAAACTTGCAATAGCATACTGTGAGTAACAATTCAAAATTCACACTTATCAGTTCATGCAAATTTAAAACAGAAACATGTACAAACTGCAAGAAAATGAGAGATATTTACAGAGCCTGTTGCTTAGGGAAAAGCAAACCATTTCCTAAAACTAAGAACACAGTACTACTTTAAAAAGAGCACAATTCTAGAATTGAAATGTTTGATAATGAAAATGAAATAGAAATAGCTAACAAGGAAATCTATAGCATAACGCTGCTCAGAGGAGCATTTCAAAATGGAATAGGTGACATATAAATGGAAGGAAGGAAGGAAGGAAGGAAGGAAGGAAGGAAGGAAGGAANTTTCTAGCTTAATCTTTATTGCCCTGCTTACAGAAACTGCCTCTCCGGTTAACCCTTATTACATTGTAACAGCTAAGGCAAAGTGCCCATCAACCCGAGTAATGTTGAGTAGGCCACGCCCACACGGTCACATGACCACTGAACCCCGCCTACCCAGCTGGTCATTAGAGCAGAGAACTGGTTGTTAAATTATTTGAATCCCACCACTGCCTTGTACAGACCGAGTTAATCTATTTTGGAGAGGAAAAAAAAAAAAGGTAGTCCTCAATGCACGATCACAAATAAGCCCAAAATGTTTGTTAGTTGTTAGTTAACAGTTAGCAGGTAAGTTAGCAAGTTGTTAAATGAGTTTCGCCCCCTTTGACAAGCTTCCTTGTCATAGTTGTTAAGTGAATCTCTGCAGCTGTTAAGAAAGCAACATGGTTATTGAGTGAATCTGGCATCCGCATTGACTTTGCTTGTTTGAAGGTTTTAAAAGGGCATCACATGACCTTGGGACACAGCAAGGGTCATAAATATGATCCAGCTGCCAAGCCTCCAAATTTTGATCACATGATCACGGGGAATGCTGCAATGGTCATGTCAAAATTAGCAATAGCATTAGGACTTATATACCGCTTTACGGTGCTTAACAGCCCTCTCTAAGCAGTTTATAGAGTCAGCCTATTGCCCCAAACAATTTGGGTCCTCATTTTACCCAAGGATGGAAGGCTGGGTCAACCTTGAGCCTGGTGAGATTCGAACTGGCAAATTGCAGTCAGCAGCCAGCAGTCAGCAGAAGTAGCCTGCAGTACTGCATTCTAACCACTGCACCATGGAAGGAAGGGAAAAGAAGGGAAGGGAAGGGAAGGGAGGAAGTAAGTAAGTAAGTAAGTAAGTAAGTAAGTAAGTAAGGAAGGAAGGAAGGAAGGAAGGAAAAGTAATAGCACTTAGACTTATATACTGCTTCACAGTGTTTTACAGCCCCTTCTAAGCTCTTTACAGAGCCAGCCTATTGCCCCCAACAATCTAGGATCCTCATTTTACCCACCTCGGAAGGATGGAAGGCTGAGTCAACCTTGAGCCTGGTGAGATTTGAACTGCCAAATTGCAGGCAGCCGGTAGTCAGCAGAAGTAGCTTGCAGTACTGCCCTCTAACCACTGCGCCATCATGGCTTTAAAAATGATTATAAACAACAGTTTTTCAGTGCTGTTAATTTCAAACAATCACCAGATGAATGGTTGTTAAGTCAAGGACTACCTGTAGCTATGAATGGGGAGTAACAACTGCTTAATTTGTCAATCAAAGAAGTTGCTCTCTTACCTCTCGGTCGAGTCCTGCTGCCACTGTCACTATATCTCCAGTCTCACTGTTAATGGTAAACATATTCTGGGATGGACTTTGGGGTGTTTGAGTCACAATGCGGTACCTCACCATCCCATTTGCTGTGGTGCCGTCATCAGCATCGTTGGCCGTCACTGTCATCACGTAGGTTCCTTCACACAAGGTACAAATGAAAATAGAATCAATCAAATGGTCCACAAGAATGGGACTGGTTCTTCTGATCGAGGCTTCCCAAGAGCATGAAGCAAACTCCTTATCCCAACAAAAAACCCTTTTTATTAATTGACTGTGCATTCTGCCCATTCTCATCCAGGAAAGTCTTTCAAGGGAGGATTTACAGTCACAGACCTTATCTGGTTTGGAGAGCAAACAGGTTGGTATCTGCAAAACTTGGCAAGGAGTCTCGGAGAGTCACAAACCAATTATGCAAACGAATTGTCTCCTGCAAACTCCACTCCCCTATTGCTCCTCTTTTAATTCCTTTGGGAGGGGCCATTCATCGTCCACCTGTGGCCTTACTCCCAAGTCGACCCCTGTTCTTTAGCTGTTCCCTTCGTCTGGCA